GTATATCGATTTTAAAAGAGGCACAGCCAAAAGGAAATAATGTAACTCACATAGAAAGTAAGGTATATCTAAAATATCCTTCACAAGTAAGGCTCATAAATACCTTTCAAAATATATATAAATATTTAATGACAGTCTCTGTGCCAAATTCAATTTATCCGATGGAGCATACAATGTGCTAATTGCCAGAGGCAACTCGAGGGAAGTATGAGTTTCCCGCTTTCATGATTTCCAGTCGTATTTCTCCCGGTTCTCCATACATATTTGATGAGCGATAGCCCGCCCATAATTAGGCTCTCTACCAACCTGCATACTCTTTCTTCCTTTTTGCCCTATCTAGCCACCACTGACAGTTGCATGCAACATTGTTGCCATTGTCGCTATCATAGTGCTAGTACAACCCGGGGATCTGGGATCTGGGACCTGGCCTTATCAGCGACCACTATCTGGGGAGAACGAAAGCCCAACTCGACAAGTGCGTGCGACCTGGTAATAAACGGAGCATAAAACGGATACCTGTTCCGGTGTCGCTTTTCGAATGGAATGGAAAATAATTAAGTTAATGCAAAATGCATTTTTATTATAATTGCCACGGGGTTGTGTGTGTGCGAGCTAAAAGCTAAAATCTATCACTTTTAATGATCATGCTTTGGAGTTGAAAAATTGAATTTCCAATGAGTGCAGCAGGAAGTCTACTTTTCTTGAGTATTTTTATTACAAGTTTAAGGTTGTCCACCTTTTAAAAACTAGGAACTAACTTGACTCTAACTTTATGCTGAATTAAGGTATATTATTCCCCATTTCAATAACTAATTAAACTTTGTGAAAGTTCAGGTCTCCTTTATTCCATTCCTGGCCTGCATTTAATATATATATTTATATAATTAATTTCGCAACTGGTTATCACTACGATAACCACCTTTCCTTGTTAACAAAATACTTATTTTCCAGACAGACCCTGCAATTGAAATTCAAAGTACACACATTCCCAAGTGAAATTAAGTTAAGCCAACCGACAATTTGGTATCTTAAGATCTCGTTAAGCAGCTTTCGTTTTGTGAAAGGAGATCGGTGATCCTTTCAACGCTCTCTTTTTCTTCTTTCCAGATCCAAAAGGACCCTCGATGAGGGGACCATTAAATTCATTAAAAGTGCATCAATGTGTATCCTGAAAAGGCCACGTAATTTGCCTGTAATCCATCAGCGTGTCGCCATTGACACCCCGAGGGTCCCCTCATTTATTTTTCATGGGGCCTTTATATGTAATTTAATACATTTTAAAAAGACGAAAATATGAATTACAATGTGAGCCTCGACATGTTAATAAGATGAAGTACGTGAATATGCACTTTGGCCGCAACTGGCAAATTCAATTAGGGACCCAGGACATTCGCAATGCGCGATAAGTGGCCGCCACAAAAGCCGCAGACGAGGACTATATAGCCTAGCTTATCCTGGATCGGGATCGGGATCGGGATCGGCAGCTGCAGATTCATTGTGTGCGAAATGAGCGGAATGCGTAATTTAATAAACTCGCGAGGGCAACTAGGAGCAGGTTCAGGACATTTGCCACAACGCCTGCAAGCCATTGAAACTAGTCCCGGCCGACGAAGCAACTTTTAATCCTGCTCTTTGCATTTGCGTAATAAAAACTTCAAGTTTATTGTTAATTAAAAGCCAGGTCCTTTCTGTGTCCTGCTCCTGCAGGCCTTTTGACGTCGCAGCTGCTGTCCATTCGGGCCATGTCTATCAATGTAATGGCTCTGCCACTGACACAAACGTGATCTGTCCATAGCCCCAAAGTGTGGAAATTATAATAAATTTTAGCTGCATTTGGCCCGCAGTTTCTCGCGTAATTATCCTGGCCTGGACACCTTTTGTCCCGTCCAGTGAATAGCAATTGCATATTGCCATATTGACAGCTTGATGGATGTTTGGAGCCCAAGTAGTTTTACAGCGAATCGAAATTGAAGGAGACTGTGCCGGTTGGACACTGTCCCAAAAGGATCTTTTTCTTAACCAATCAATTTTAGGTGATTTGTGAAAAGAAATATAATATATTCTGCGTAAATATTATAAATACTTTTAAAAAGAAATAATGCTTGTTAAACAACTATTTTCTATTGAATAACTCTAAGACTTTCTTCAAGAATTATTGTATATGCTTTGTAAACATGATTTACCTTTACCAAGTACGATATTTAGCCTATGTTTCCTCAACATTTTATTTAAGAATTATTTTCCTTTAAGACTATCCCCTCTTTTGGCCAAGTGCATTGCCAATATTGCCACGGGTGGTCCGCCATCAAGTGGCTGGACATTAAGATTCGTCCGGCGACTACCGTTGGCCATTTAAGACAATAAATTTCATAAATAGCTTATGCATAAAATGCAGTTGCTCCGCTCTGGACCCGGCTGGCTCTCAACTCCCGCTGCGTTGATATTAATTGGACGACATAATTGCGGGGCCACGTTGGCCATAATAATGCCGAGTGGAGTTCGCGGATCGCAGATCTGCGGCTCGGCGGTTCGGCGGTTCGGCGGGGTAATTGCTCTGGAAACACGTTCCACTGGCAGCACTCCCCAATCGCTGAGGACTACCGGACTTTTTGGTTGGAATTTGTATAAATTTGGCAAAGTTTCGGAGGGACCCTCGTAGTATCATAATTATGGGTCTTGTGGCGGTGCACACACACACATGAGTGCAATTATTGGTGAGTGTGTGTCCCGGGCTTAATTTATTGTCTTTGGCGCTGCCCTAAATCCAATTGTAATACAATACGCTGCATTTATCATATTTAAGTACCGATTCCAAAATGCACACACATCCTGTATTTACGGCCTGCTAATACGCGGTTTAGGTTTAATGAGTGTGGCTAAGAACTCTCTTTGAGAGTTTTAATTAGGCATAACAAAGTTGCAAGGAAATCAAATTAAATATATTTAAGAAACATGTCAAAGAACAAGCAAACATTTGGGGACAAAAAATACGAATATAAATTATTTCTTCATTAAGAGAAACAAATATATACAATATATTTAACGAAGCTATGGAGAAATAATCAAATGAAAATGGACTTATCTAATAATTCTTTCCACATCTTTTATATGATTAATTTTTTAAGAAAATACCTCATTATTTTTCCCTTAGTTTTCTTAAATTATTTTAAAGCCCTCTCACTTGGAGCTTTGTTTGCTCATCATCAAGGCTGAGATTGGTCCTGAAACCAGTCAGGACATTGTTATGATTATAAATATTTATTTTATGCGCTGCTCAGACCAGCTCCAGGCTTTCGCCTCAAACTCCTCCTCGAAATCGGTTAAATGGACTGTGCTGTTTATTTTTTCTTAGTCCCTTAATAAGCCTCATGAATAATGGTCGAAATAAAAGAAGGCGTTGCAAGTTGGGGGAGGCTGAGCCACCGGACATGTGTGTTAATGTGTGTGTGTATGGGTGTGTGGTGGCATGTGTGGAGGGGTGGACCAAAAAAAAAAAGGAGAAACAAGAAAATGGCGCCCAGCCAAAGATAAAGAGAGATATGTATATAAAGACACACAGGCGTAGAGAAAGAAGCAAACAGAAAACATGTCCTGGCAAAAATTGCACACAATTACGGGGCTGAAACGTACTGTACCGAACACTCTCCTCCATTTTCCCCCCTCTTACCTTATCCAGGCGGAAAAGAATTATTACGTTGAATTTTCCCCCGAAAAAAATAATAGCAAAAGGAAAAGAAAACGAAGCGAAAGAATTCTCATTTTTTGATAGCCGTCCAGGAAGCTGCCGCAAGGATACAGGCAGAAAAATTACGTCTTTAATATTTACAACTATAATAAATTAATATTTTTGCTTAATATATATAATTATTATTAAAAACATTTGCTAAAAAACAAGGAGATTTAACTATAACATAAGTTTGTGTCTATTTATTTTGCTTATTTTTTCGTTTGACCTTCTAGAAGTTTGAAAAATAAACTCTTAATAAATGCAAAGCCTCTTCAGGCATATTTATTTAGTTTCATTAAATTTTTTTATAAATTCTAACCCCTTTTTTCGGCTCTGTGTATTCAAGGATATGCCAGCCACATCGCCTGGCTCACGTGCATATGACAGTGGAGTAAACAATTTCATTTCGCGCAGCAGGACCCACAAGATAACTGCTACAAACGAGACGCAAGATGCTGCAGTGGCCAGGGGACAGGGGCAAGGACAAGGGGACAGGGGACAGCAAGGACAACGACAGCACTTGAGTTCTGTTTTCGAAGTCGGGCAAGAACAACAACCACCGGCAGCAGAAGCAGCATAAGAAGTTGCGTAAATATATTGTCCTGTCGCTTATTCCGGTATTTGGGGAATGGGAAGATCCGGAACAGGACTGTGGACTAAGGACTAAGGACTACGGACTACGGACCACGGACTCTAGACTACGGACTGCGGTCGGCCGGGACCAATTCGAAACTCTCCTGCCAGCGTGCCGTGGGCGTTTGGACGCAGTTAGTCGAGCGTGCCGGGCGGATTTTTTAATGCGTGTCTCTATAAATTTTGCACGCCTTTTGTAAATTGTGAAGGAACCCCCACCACCAGGACGGGCTGGGGGTGGTATCCTTGGAGTCCTGGGCAGCTGTACACGTGGCCTGACCAGTTTTTTTGTTTTTTCTCCTTATATTTTTGGGAAATTGTCAAATTGTTGTTACTGCATCTTTGTCCTGTGCTCCAGGGGGGTTTGTCTCCAGTTTAGAAAAAATCTTGTATATTTGTCATGCGAAATGTTTATCCCCAATATTTTTACATAAATAACCTACACTTGGGAAAGATTTCACAAATTTAATGGTTTTCTTTTGAAGGGGGAAATGTGAATGTATATTTTATTTTACTTTCGCAGTTGTAAATCTCAAAAAGGTGCTTTAAATATTTCTTTCTCTGTGGAAAAATAACTTTCTTTACTTTCAATAATTAAAAAAGGCTTTATATAAAGTCTTTATTTAACGAATATAATTACCTAACTAAAAACCTAATCTAACCAGTCATAACAGCCTTCATTTTGATCAAGTTGAGAAACTCCATCCACTCATCAATATCCTCTACTCTCCGCTTCGCAAACTCACGTCGTGCCCTGGCCTTTAGTATATGTGGCTGGGTTACGGGTTCGGCCACACAGAAGGCCAGGAGAAGATTCCGACGGGTTATGCGAATCGTGTAGAAGGGTGTATCCTTGCTGTAATAGGATTTTAGAAGAAAATCCTTCGATTTTAAACTCCCTGAATGCTTTAACCCGCCCCGATTCCTTGTCGACTTGATGTTATGGAGAATTTTCTTAAAGTCCCATATCGTCAACTGACAATCCTGTCCGCCGACCATCAGCAAATTATTATCCAAACAGAATTGAATCGTATTAATGGTCGACTTGTGATGGTTCATAAAGTGCACTAACCTCTCGTTGGCAATGTCCCAGATCATGATGAGACTGTCGTCTCCGCCAGAGACCAAATAGCGACCACAAAGGGAGAAAGCTAGGACTGTGATCCTTCCCTTGTGGCCAGCAAAGACACGCACCTGTGTACCTTTGGGTAGATCCCATAACCGTACGGTGGCATCCGCCGATCCTGTGGCCAAGTAATGACGATTCGGATGGAATAGGCACACCTCCAGCTCAGCTAGATGTCCCTTGAGAATCCGCACTGGTCGCTTGTTATCCTGCACCCATATCCTGGCAGTGCAATCGTCCGAGGCGGTGGCAAAGTAGTATCCCATGGGGGCATAGGTCACACAGCAAACCGGAGAGAGGTGACCGGGATATATGACCATACAATTCCAGGACATCAGGCACCACAGCCGCACACTGCAATCCTCCGAGCAGCTGAGCATGTATCGATCCTCCGGGTTAAAGGACAACCTATAGACAGCTCCCTGGTGTCCCCGGAGGCTGCGCCGCGAGTACTTCTTGGTGGGATCCAGCATTGCCTTGTCAATGCCCGGCGTTCCCGTGTCGAGGGCCTTCAGCCAGTTGGCCGACTTCAGTTGGACCAACTTCGAGGGATTCAGCGAAAAGATGTGTATGCAGGAGCCAAGGGTGCCCACGGCCAGCATTCCGATGCTCTCCGAGAAGGTGGCACAGGTAACCACCTCTTCGCCATTTCGAGTAGTGTACATGTACGCCGAAGGAAGATTATGCCGATCCAGCTTCTTGCGATACTGTTCGTCGGTCTTACGTCGCAGCAAATCCATTCTCTTGGGCGTCGGTGTGTATATCTTTCCGATCGGCGGCAGGTGAATATTCCTTTCCGGCAGCGAGCAGTTCTTCCTTCGCCGTGATCGGAGTAGGGGTCGAGTGGAAAACTCCTTTTTGTGCAACGGATCCGGTGGAGCCCAGTAAACTATCTCCAGAAGAGGCTGTCCCGGTCCAAACCGCTGCTTCGGCTCATCATTCTCACTGTACCTCCGGATCTGGAAATGAGTGAGCACCTTGTTCTGCTCTGCAAGGGTCCAATCCTGCATGTGATTCAATAACTGGTTGTAAGCTCCCCCGGACATGTGTAACTCCAGCTTCTCAAAGCCGGCCAGCAGCTTCCTGGCCCTATGGGGGACATCCGCTGGCCTGCAGATATTCAAGAGCTTGGACAATCTGGGGGAAAAGGAGTCATCCAGTTGGCTGGTAAATCGATTCAGGAAGATCCTCGCTTTTGGAAAGTTATCGCTGGCCATCATTTGCAGATAAGTCACGGCAATCAGGGGAAATAATAGCAGATATAACTCATATTTATGAAAACTTGGGGCTATTTGAATGATCTGCTGGAGATGCTTGATACACGCCTCGTATTCCAGGAACACGGCCTCGTCCTTGACGATTAGAAGCCTGCTGCTCGTCGTGATACCTATTTGGAACTGTACGTTGTCCTCGAAGAAATCCAAGCCATTACGGTTAGCGTCCTCCTTGCCGGAATCCTCTTCCTCTGAGTCCTCACTCTGATCCTCGGCGGATTTCGTTTTCTTCTTCAGGTTTTCCTCTTCCTTCAGGATGGCCTGCATTTCCTTTTCGGGAATCTCTCCCCTGTCAATGGGTCGCTTGGCCATGGCTGCCCAATACTTGAATTTCTTGCCATTTGACCGGCGAGAAACCTCTGGATAGACGGCTTTATCGTCAGCCTTTCGCTTTAGCTCGTCCAAACTGTCATTGGAATCCGATTCACTGTCGAAGAGACGGGATTTCTTTTGGGTGGATTTCGTATCGGCTTCCCCCTCGGATATAACCTCTTCTTTTCTGTTTAAGAAGAGGAAATAAATAAGGCTACAGATATTTTCTAGTATGTTGTAACCCACGGTTTAAAAGGAACTATTTCCTGAAGTAAATTGAATTCTGTATCATAGAGCGGCATAGAGGGCAGGGGTCCGACTGTAATCGGCATCTGCTGGTAGAAGTCATTGCTGGTTGCAGGTAGAGAATGCTATTTAATTTTGTAATTAGGAAATATCAAGACTCGAACCTGTCGTCCTCATCACATTCCATATCATCGTCGGTGTAATCATCGGAGCTTTCCGGAAAATCAGAGACTAAAGCAAATGATTATAGTCTTGATTAATTCTACGGAGACCATTCATATAATATTTCGATTTTTGTCTTACTGTCTGTACCGGAAGCAGCGGAATCTCCTTTTTCGGATTTCGGACTTTCAGCCACATCGTTTTTCCCGATATCGGGAGCCACCGCTTCCTGTAAAATGTTTCCGTTTTTCTGAACCGGATGGGATTCTCCATTTTCAGGTAATTCACAGAGCAGATTCTTTTCGGTTCGATTGTACGTGAGTAATTTTCCATTTCTAAGCTCCGAGACAAGCTCAATATCAGAATCGGAGTCCGAGTCGGAAATGATTTGAATTTCCTCATTAACAGTCTGCATTATATCCTCAATGCATTGGACATCATCATCTTCGTAAGAATTAAGGATAAGATCCAATTTCGGGTCGACATTTTCTTCTGAAATTATTGGTTTAATTTTTACCGCATCGTGGTAAAAATTCTGGTGCTGATGCTGTTAAAATTAATCAGTCTTTTAAATTAGCAAGTAAGTAGGACCGATGTCAGAGGAGTTACTAGTGTGTTTAGTTATGGAATCAAAATAACAGAAAAAATTACAACCGATAGAAAATATTGAGAGCTCATTTGGCTCAATGCTTTGGTCCTGCCAGCTCCTTTTTTAGCTTAAGTCTTCGAATACAATCCGTTTTTCGCGCACACACTCTGACATCGGGCCAAGAAGAATATGTACGGGTTTCTTACATTATTTATTGTTGTGGGATTTAAATTCATTTTGTTTTTTTTATTAACGAAACTTGACAGCTCCAATTTCTAGGGCTCCAATTTTCTAAAACTATTAGTATGCCCATATTTGGTTACACAAATGTGGACAGCTCAACTTTTGAGGTTTTTATTTTCTACCTTTTCTCCCGATATATTTTTTGTCGTTTTTTCCAACAATTTTTTTGCTATCATGAAGCGACCGCTGATCTGAAAGAAAATGCTGGCTCAGCATCACATGAGGGCGCCGGAATCCAAGGGCGGGTTCAAAAAAATATTTAAAAAAAAGGGGGAAGAAGGACTGGTCCGTGGATAAGAAAAAAATTAATTTGCATACCCAATATTCAACGGATTTGCCGTGGCTTCTCATGCCACTGTCCGTTTGATACCCTCGATGAGGGTAGTTGAAATCGGGGTATATGGGTGAGGGTTGTATTGGGAGTTCGTATATTTACAATACATTTGTTTTGTTTTAAAAATTTTGAAAAAGAATTTAAGAAGGATATAGAAATAAAGATTTTGTTCAAAAATGTAAACCTTTTAAAAGGGATTCACTTAAGAAAATTAATAAATTTAAAAATATGTTTCAAAACAAAATAATCAAGAAAATAAAGTTGCCTTAGAATTTAAGCTATAACCTTGCTGTTAGACTAACGAAATATAAACTGGCTATGATTCTTGCTTTGACAACTAGTTCTTGGGTGTTTCCCAATTCGACTACAATTCAGGGACTTTTCATATTTTTTCCAACGCTCACTTGTTAGTGGAATTGTGCGAGTATGCTGGCGAGCAGCTCGACCCGCGGATGCGTTTGGAATTTTTACTACAGTTCCCCGGCAATATGTTGAGCCCGGCAACTCACTTTGCAGGACTCGGGCCAAGGAAACACAAAAAAAAAAACACACACAGAAAAAGGATATACAAAAAACTGGCGACAGGACAACCCGCAGGAAAAGCTGAAACGCATTTCGAGCTGCATATTGTTTTGTAATTTTCACCATGATTTATTACGCTCTTTTGGCAGAGAGAACCACTTTACTTTAAAACTTTAAAATCTGGCTGTAATATATAGCCATCCATGTGGATGGGTATGTGTGTCAGTGGCCAAGGACCCAGTGTTAGAGGGAAACAATGGAAAACAAAGCCTCATTATGGGCAACAACAATTGCCAAATCACTTGATACGTAATGCTGGCCATAAATAAATCACACTGCAGCAGCATAATCCATTGTAAAGTGTCGAAAAACTGCAATTCAAATGCAAATCAATGCAAATCGATACTTGAATCATCGCACAGACTCACACAAACACCCAAAACCCGACCCATGAATGATTCATGCAGCCGACGCACGCGAGCAACATTCAAATGCAAATGCAAAAACACCGAATGCGAAATGCAAAAATTATCCGAAAATGCAAATGGACATGGAAGTGAGAAAATGCGAAAATGCTCGAGGAGGAAAACCCGCTGGGAGGGCAACAATCAAATCAAAATAAATGCACCGCCCGAAAACCCTAAAAACTAAACTGCAACAAAGGCCAAAAAAGTAAACACGCTGCAAACAAAGCCTTGTGGATTTTCGCACTTCCGGTTAACTGTTGCTAATTTGATTAGGGAGTTTTCCCTGCGAGGCGGTTGCGGGAAAGTGGGCGTGGCCAGCGAAAAGGCCATAAACATTTTTAGCTGCCGCTGATTTCGTTTTGGCCTGCCAACTTATGCAAATTATCCTGCGTGATTTATGCCCAGCATTTTCCTGCGTTTGCAGAGAAGCTAAAACTTTGCTCCTTGGGGTGTAGCCGTAAATTGAATTTCATAAAATACTGTAGGCGGAACTCTTTACCAGGTGTGTTAAGGTAAGAGAAAACAAGTAAGGAAGCTTACTTCGAGAAGCCGAAGTGTGTATATCCTTGCAGTTATCCCTAGGATCATGGGTTCGAATGTAAAATCGTTATTAACTGAGCTATAGTGGCATTAATTTAGTAGGATGCTACCATATTGGTCTTAAATTTAAAAAAAAAGTAACATTTTTTATTAATTTTATACAATTTTATTGATGTTACCCCTAACAAGACTTTGAAAAAATCAGTTAAACATTTTTGTCGAATTATTTTCCCACTTGCTTTATTTCTTTATTGATAAAGATTTTGATTGCAAATCAAAATATATATATGACTTTTGTTATTATTTGTTATTTGGCCTTCGTAAACCCATAAGAAAACCTAAAATATATTTGTACCAGGTATATTAAATCGATATTTTCGTATGCTAAGTTGTTGGATAAGTCAACATTTTCCAAATCTCATAACTCAGCCAAAAATCCATTAATTTCAATTCGGAAAGCTGTTCTGTGCTAGCTTTTATAAGGTTAACAAATCTGCATACTAAGTTTTAAAATTTAACAAAACTAAATTTTTGTCAAATTTTTCAATTTTAACAACTTAAAATTTAATGACAAAATTTTGAAGAAAAAATTCGAAAAATTTTTTTTACTAAAACATGGCTAGATTAATTCAGCTTTTCACGCCGATCAAGAATATATATGATTTATCGGGTCGGAAATGACTCCTTCTTTGCATTTCACGGATCTTACTCAAATTTTAATGTTATTCTTTGAGCTGATATTTATCAATAATTTTAGATGACAATTTTTTCGACAATTCAAAGTTTAAAAATTCATAACTAAGCCAAAATGAATAAATTTCAGTTCGGAAAACTGTTCTGTGCTAGTTTTTATAGTGTTAAAAAATCTGCATACTAAGTTTTAAAATTTAACATAAATAATTTTTTGTAAAATTTTTAAATTTTAACAAGTTAAAATTTAAAGACAAAATTTTGAAGAAATAATTCGAAACTTTTTTTCTTACCAAACATGGCTAGATCGATCCGGCTGTTCATGCTGATCAAGAATATATATGATTTCCAGGGTTGGAAATGATTCCTTCACTTCGTTTTAAGCTTCTGACTGAAATATAGTTATAATACAAAATACAGGAATTAATACTAAAACCACTACTACTAATTTAGTTTTCTTTTAGATTATGTGTCTTAACAACAAAAAAGATTTATTTACAATTTACATATTATTATTTTAACTGTTCTTGAAACTCATAAAGTAAAATCCTTTCAAACATAATCCAAAAATTATTTCACACGCAAGGCATTGATGCTGCCACTGCTCTTTTTTGAATAGTTTTGTTTTCTTTCAGCTCAACCTAAGGCGTTTTTTCATATTTAAATCTTCATCACCATGCAGACATATTGAATTCAATCATATCCTGTCATTTTGCCTCCATGAAACTGGTTCTTGTGCCTTTCTTACCTTTCCTGTTCCGAACTTGTCCGTGTCGATTGTCATGCTAATTGCGGCAAAAAGGATTCCCAGGATTCCCAGGACTCCCAGGTAGAAGCTGCCGCCAGAGCTTAGTTTATGCCCAGACATTGTCGCGTAAAGTGCTCCGCAGAAGGCGAAGGCAGTCGTTAAATAAACCATAAAACAAGCAATCAGCCATGGAAAACAAATAAAGCCCACCCACAAAATAAGCTGGCAAGAGGGACAGCAAGAAAAAATATAAAAAATAAATAAGAAATGAAAATGTCGCCGGGCGTTAGCAGAAACCACAAGCATGACAAACATTAACACGGCCTCTGACGCAATTTAACACCAATTACAATATCCGTTACATCTAATTATTGTGCGGAAGCCAAGGAAGCCACTGGGCAGCCGGCCTTCTTTGCCGACTAAATTAAAGAAAAACACGCCCGCCCCTGCACACCCGCCAGGACATGGGTGGCGCCATTTGCGGTTGCCAGGACATTAGCAATGGGAAAAGTGCGGCGGAACAGGAGCAGGAGCTGGAGCAGCAAATGGCGGCCATAAAACAACAGAGAACAGGACCCATGAAATATGAGCAGGAAGCGAAAGGAAAACAGTGTCGTGGTGTTCTTTGGGAGTGCGGAAGGAGAACGGGGGGGCATTTCTTAATTTCCAACAATTTACGCTGAAAGCTTTCACCGCTCAAATGACGGCAGCAGGACTCGCAGTGTCCTGTTTTTCTTCTTCATTCATTTCTTTTTTTTTTTGCTCTCTCTCTACTGTCTTGGCGACGATGATGATCTAACGCCATTATTTCCCCGGCACACGACAGGCAGTTGTTAATGGGGCTTACCACTTAAGCGCGACGGCATAAAATAAACACGCGGTCTGTCCCCTGTATTTGCTTCATGTCCTTCGTCCTTCGATGCGAATGTCCTGGCAAATTAATTAACATGGCGCTCGGCGCTCGCTGCCAGCATTTTGGACACTCGAAAGAATGGGTACTACTTGTAACTGAATTAATAATTTCAATAAAACAGAGTAGGTATAGAAATTGTCATAATATAATTACATTTCCTTTCTTTGAATCGATCGAATCTAAAACAGAAACAGTTTTTATTTGTTTTTAGATAAGAGTACAACTTAAAATGATCCTGAAATCTCAGAAAAATTTCAAAATTAAGTCATAATTTCTAATACATCCCTATATCCCATAGTTATTGCTGAACACATTTACTATCTCTTAAAAATAATAGATAATAATATTACCTAACTTTTATAAAAATACAATATCTTTAAAGGATTCATAAATATCCTAATGATATGATTATCATTATAACCAAAAGTAAAATCCATTAAAATCTTTTATAATAATAATTTAACTCTCTTAAAAAATTCATAAAATTTTCTCCCACCATTTATTTAATTATTCCCATTCAATGTGAAAATCTTTTCTAGTGCAGTTTTGTTTGCTGTTTTTCCTCAATTCATTCGCCTGTTGTTCTTGTCTTTTGGCGGCTTTTTTCTTCAGCTTAATTGTGGACCAACGTCTTTGGCCCTTTAGGGCGTCCTGTCTTGTTTTCCCCTCCCAAAAAAATATATACAAAAAAATTGTGAAACTGGGAAGTTTGCCTGTGGCAGTTTAACAATTAAGAAACGTTTAAAGTTCGGTGAAATTGGGGCGCGGCTTTCCTTTGATTACAAGCAGCAGGATCTCTTGAAGGGTGAGGCTGAGGCCAAGTCCTTGCCACCGGCAGGACATTGGACATACGCGGCACGTTGCCTGCATCCGTTTGACACCTTTGTTGGGCCCAAAATGGCACAGGAAATGAGCTGGCCCGTACGTGACTTGTTTTCCCTGTTTTCGAGCAAATTGCAAATGTAAAATATATATATTTCGGCTGCCGCTCAAGCCCCCAAAAAGGACAAAAGGGGTCCCCACACACACTTTAACCTGACCCAGCCGCTGTTTAAAATTCCAAATTTGTGCACTCGCTCAATTTCCTTCCATTCCCCAGATGTAATTACCCAAAAAAGGAAGAAAACGAAGGTTAGTCTTTCTGATTTGACACGAATTTCTCGGCCAGAGTCCGGAATAATTAGTGTCCATTGAAGGGGCGGCCTGTGGGCTCTGTACTTTCTACGTGCCAAACACAACGCCCTGCGGCAAGGACGAACACTCCTTGGAGGCCTGTCCTCGTCCTTGTCCTCGGTCTCGGTCTTGGTCTCAGTCTCGTTGTCGGTCCCGGCATAATTGCAATTAAAATGTTCGCCGGGAAGTGCAAACACTTGGAGGCAATTGCCGTGCACAGAAATAATAACAGGCAGATTGCGCAAATTAAAATATAATTAGAGACAAACAATGGAGAGTGTGTCGCAGGAGTTGGGGAAATGATTATGAGAAATTTTCAATATTTACCAGCAATTAATTGGTAAATATGAGTTTCAGATGAGGAAGAGATTATGTTTTTTAAAGGAAAAGTAAGATAATTAATTACTTAAATTGAGTAATAGATATTCTATTTCAAGGAACTTTGTTGAAAGCAAAACTTAATGGAAAGTTAGAAAATTAAGAAATTAACTATTTTTCCTTTTAATTTTTATTTAAATAAGAAATATTTAAATGGAAATTTAATGTCCCTTTCAGGTAACCCTCTAATCTCAGTTTTCTTAAGTATTTTTGATCTCAAAATTAGACTCACCCTAAAAATTAAATAAAAAACTCAATAAAAAGGATTTGATTACCCATACAACTCACTCCTTTTCCAATATGAATTACAGTGTACTACAAAGGCGACCTCTGGTGAGCGGTGGCCGCAAAATGCCACGCACTTTCCACTGGAAGAAGTTTTGTGTTCGCCTGGAAATTAGCGTCAGAAGGCCCACCTTTTTTTTACTTCCTTCGAGGGTTGAACGCTTAGAGAGCGAGAGAGAGAGAGAGCACAAATACAGACAGGACTCGAAGGAATATACAAATACCTGGGCTGAGGAAACACCTGGTTTTAGTGGGAAAGAGGGGTATAGGGGGGACAACTAACGAGCAAGTAATTTTGTGGGCCAACTGAGCTGCGAGCTCCTTTAATGTTGCCTTGCCAACTTTAAGCCGCCGCGACGCTGCTGTCCTGCAGCCGCTTTTCACATTAAGTATACGCACCGGAGAACATCGAGGGGTGGTGCTTTTTTTCTCTTACTGGGGGAGGGTAGGCCTGTGAGGGTCGTTTCATTTTTATTATTTTTTTTTTTTGGCAGGCCACACCTTCCACGCTCGCAGGGGTGACTAAACAACTGCGTGCGCCGAGCGTTCGCTTTTACTTTTGTTTGCCCGGATTTTCGATCGAAAAACACACAAATATATATATTTATATATTTTAAGAGCGGGGGGAGAGAGAGCAAAAAAAAATAAAATAAAATAAAATAAAATAAAAGCGAAATGAGGAAGAACGAACGAAATTTGTTTCGTTGAAAATCTGCTTTATGAAATGTCAAAACTTCAAAGCGAACTCAAACTTAAATGCAAGAAAATGAGAAATATTCACTTGAGTGCGTATGCGCTGGCTACGACGCTTCACGTCCTGTTTCCTGATTTCCTTCCCATTGTCCTTTCACTGCTGCTTGTTGTTGTTTGTGCTGCTGCTGTTTGAACTGTTGTTGATAGCCTTTATTAGTTGTTGGCCCGAAAGCTTAGGCGCTTACGCATTTCCCCGCCACTTTCACTTCCTGCCTCGATTTTCAGCAGGACTCGTGCGCTCCGCAAATAGATATAATTTTTTTTGTGCTGCCCTCTATGCCTTCCGCTTTTCCTTAGAGCGTTTTTTTTTCCGGCAGGCAAATTTTATTAAAAAATTTTATATTAAATCAATTGCGTGGAGATTTTCTTCTTATATTCTGTTTTTCTGTATTTTTCTGGTTGGGGGTGTCAGATGTGTTCATGCATAAAGTTGTTTTGCCCAGGAGGTTGGGTATATGTGAATCAATCGATAAGAAGATAACTAACCATTATGGAATAAAATATAAATACAGGAAATATTGTTACTACATTTTACAGGTTAAAGTATTTTTAATGTAAAATACTATGGTACCATAAAAATATATTAAGGGGTTCAAGAACACTCCTACTGCTAAATAGTTAATACTACATACCGATTCTTAATTATATACCTATTAAAAATTCCATATGTCTACCAATATCTTATATATCAAAACACTTTTAAATAAAATATTAACCTGATAATTACCGTACAGAAATTATTTCCCTAATTACCCTGATTAACTTGTCAATATTAAGACATAAACTGTCTGCGGAAACCTCACTATAAAAGCAGAGTTTCCCTTGGCCCATGAAAACATTTGAAAATAACTTTCCTTTCGTTGTATCTCGTTATCCTTAATAATGACTAAAATTGTACCCGTTGATCGTTATCGAAAGGTCATCTCGTTGATCCGCTTCTGTGTGGGATTTTGTGGAAACGATGTGGCAAATCCGAACTTCCGGATGTGGTGGCTCACCTATACAGTAATTGCAGCAATTGGTTTCTTCTTCGCTTGCACCATTTACACCATCTATGTGGGTGTGGTGATCAATGGAGACCTCACTGTGATCCTTCAGGCCATGGCCATGGTGGGATCCGCAATCCAAGGATTGACTAAGCTATTGATTACGGCTTATAGGGCTCCACTGATGCGACATATTCAGAACAGTTACGAGGAGATATATAGGTTGGAGAGATTTGTTAAAAAATCAATAGATTTATATCTATGTATATATATTTTCTATTCTATCCAGTGACTATGGCTCTCGTGGCAGTGAGTATGTCAAGTGCCTGGAAGCCAGAATTCGCACAACATGGAAATTGATCATCGGTTTTGCCACCATCTACTCTGTGGGTCCTGCGTTGATCATCTTCTTCCCCATCTTCTATCTGGTGGTGTTTAAGGAAAAGATTCTAGTCATGCAGTTCTTTATCCCATTGATTGATCACACCACCGACAGTGGCCACCTGCTGCTCACGGTGGTGCACATAGCCCTGATCTTATTCGGCGGATTTGGCAATTATGGTGGGGATATGTATCTGTTCCTCTTTGTGACCCATCTACCTCTGATCAAGGACATCTTTTGCGTGAAGCTCGAGGAGTTTAACGAGGCGGCCGTCAAGAAGAATGACTTAAAAAGGATGAGAGAGATGCTCTTCGATCTGGTGGCTTGGCATCAGAAATATGTCAGGTGAGGGGGCATTTTTAAGGCTCTAGAAAAATGCTTTAAAATGTAACTTCCAGCCTTCTTAGAGCAACTGAAAGGATCTACAGCATAGTCCTCTTTGTGCAACTTTTTACGACCTGTGTGAGCCTTTTGTGCACTATTTCTTGCATTTTTATTAAGGCCTGGCCCGCTGCCCCCATCTATTTGGTATACAGTGGCATTACTCTCTACACCTTTTGTGGCCTAGGCACTTTGGTAGAGAATTCGGTAATTATTTGGAAATTTAAAACTAAAATTAATCTTTAATTATTCTTTATACCTTTAAGAATGAATCCTTCACTAGGGTTATATACACAAACTGTCTGTGGTACGAGCTGCCTGCCAAGGAGGAAAAGCTAATTATTCTAATGCTGGCCAAGGCCCAAAACGAGGTTTCCTTGACAGCGGCGGATATGGCCCCATTATCTATGAATACGGCTCTTCAGTTGACCAAAGGAATCTATAGTTTCAGCATGATGCTTTTTACTTATTTGGGAAAGAAAGAGTAGTCTTTTAATGTAAACTTATAAAGAGTAGAAAACTATCTTAAAGACATTTAAAGAAATTAGCAGTAGTATGTTATTAGCAGAATATTAATTTCACAAATACATTTATATGCAAAATAAATAAACAAGTTAATATTTATGATGATGAAGCCTCTGAACCAACACCTACAGTTAGTTGCCTAAAGAATCGCCCTAAGGAGTGAGTTTTGGCTGATTAATTTTTGCTCTTTGTCTAATGAACTTGCCGCAAAAGGAATTTAATAAACAGCACCGCCACATTTTTATGGTACCACAAAAAAATTATGTCTGCTCGGCCGCAGACCGTGAAAAATAGTAAAAAAATAAAGATGAAGGGAAGAAGACGCTGTAAATGAGGGAAAAGTATGAAAAAGCAACGCTGGTAAGTTGTAAAAATTGTCTTTTAATGCCGCCCAAATCCAGCAGATTGCCACGTAGTGCTAATAAAATAAAGTTATGTCCGGGCATAAAGAACAAAAAGCCCGCTCCCAAATAGTGTGCCTCGAAAGTAAAAATCCACCAAAACCCACACAAAAAATGGCGTTGAAAATTGAGTGCGCGGGCGCAGGACGCAGGACGCAGGACACAGGACGCAGGACAAGATGGATGATGGGAGGCGGCGGCGGTGAGGTCGGTAAACGCATCATTAATCAAATGTCCGAAGCGTAAGCACCGTTATTCATCATTGCTTATGGATAAGGTGGCCGCCCATCTACTCCTCCCTCCTCATCCTCATCCTCCCCCACTCGGAGCAGCTCCTCATCCCCAAGTGGAAAACCCTCAAGAAAGTCCGCATGAGTTGCCATATTTTGGTAATGAAAAAATTCTTATGGGGCTTATTGCCAAGGATGTACCGAATGGGGAATATTATATATCTGGTTTACTTAAAGAATTTGTCCATATATTTAATAATGTTTAAATATTTTATATATTTTCGGGTTCCTATTAATTCATTTTCTGTTCTTCTTACAAGAACTCATCTATATATATTTGTAATTTTGAATTGAATTCTATTTTAAGGGTTCTTATTTAACATAATTTAATGCAAAACAAAGCTTTAAACCGAATCAGATATATATTTTTTCATAAAAGTACTTTCTAAATGACACACATAATTTTCCATTTATATATATTTTAATTTTAGTCCGAAGCCCTTAACGCAATGAAGGAGTCATTTCCGACCCTATAAATCATATATATTCTTGATCAGCATCAAAAGCTGAATCGATCTAGACATGTTTGGTAGAAAATTTTTTTTCGATTTTTTTTTTGTAATTTTGTCATTAAATTTTAACTTGTTAAAATCGCAAAATTAGAAGAAAATTTATTTTTGCTAAATTTTTAAACTTAGTAAGCAGATTTCTTAACCCTATTAAAACTAGCACAGAACAGTTTTCCGAATTAAAATCGATGCTGTTTTGGCTTAGTTATGAGTTTTTTAAGATTGTATATGTCACACAAAAATATTGTTAATGTAGACTGAAAATTGGTATTATAATTTTAGTCAGAAGCCTGTATCGATGTGAAGGAATCATTTGCGACCCTATAAATCGTATATATTCCTGATCAGAATCAACAGCCGAATCGAACTAGCCAACTCCTGCACAAAAAAAAATTTCACATTTATTCAACATTTTCAACATCGTTAAAAATGTCTACAAAAAATTGACAAAAATTTTAATTTTTTACATTTTAAATTGAGTATGCAGATTTGTTGCCCTAATAAAAACTAACATAAAACTGCTTTCCGAATTGAAATGAATAGATTTTTGGCTTAGTTATGAAAGATGGCACCGTAATGGAACCGATGATTTTATGTCTAATTGTAAGGGTGTACACCTTTCGGCTTCTCAAAGTTAGTTACCTTTCTTGTTTCTCTCTTAATTTCTATAGAACTTGTAGACTTCTGACAAACTCACACACACGTGGCCTGAGCCCAAGGAAAATCCACAAAAAGTGAACTCTAGTCTAGAGCTTCTCTTCCCTCCACCTAGCTCACCCTAATCACTTTCTCAGCCACCCTAATGGCGCATATCAATTTGGCTCAGGCCACGTGCTGATGATTTCTTTCCTTTGCTTTTCTCGAATTTTTTATATATATTTATTTTCATTTTTTTCAGCAAATGTTTGGCTATATTTTTTGGAGAGCTTGTAGTGTATATTTTTGCGGCCTGAAAGTGAATTTCGTGGGCAACATCATAAATCAGGCTTATATTGTACAGAATCATCAAACGGGCGACAATTCTTAGCAGGAAAATCGCGGCGAACCGGATGTGCTAATGGAGTTTTTACATTAGAGATTGCTTCCCGTCGACGGGATGACTGGCTGACTGACTGGATGCTGATGTTGCTTTAACTGATGTTGTTTTTATCGGGGCAAAATCATCGAGATGCTGCTCTAACACCCCTTCAAGTGTCAGTTACATATTGTCGGGACAACAAAACGCTTCACTTTCCATCACAGCAACCGGGAGGGAAAATATGGGAAAAAAAAGGTTAGAATCGAAAAAATTTGCATACACAGCTGAAACAGGAAGCGCGTCCTTTTTTATTTTCCTATTCCTATTTTTTTTCTACTGTTTTTTGATGGCGTTGTTGTGGTTGTCTGTTCAGGAAGTGTGCACACTGAAAGGTTTTGGTTTTTTCTCTCTGCATGATTTTTTTTCGAGTATCCTTTTTGGTAGAAAAAAAAATTGTAGTCAAAGTGAAAATGTACGCTATTAATTGGCCCGAAATAAAAATTTTCCACGGAGCTGCTAGACAGCTGCCCGAAGGCAGTTGGGTGAAAATCACCTAAATTAAATATAAATTATATGCAAATTGGAATTGGGTTTTCCATTAGCCTTTAACCCCTTCGTATACGGTTACATGGCCACATCACGTCGACGTGTTTAAGTACGCATCATTTGGCGACTGGCTTGTAATTTAATTGGTTCGGTGTATCCTTGAATCCCGGCTACGCGGCTCCTGGTAACTAATTTATGCCCCTGCCCCGAAGGGTTCCTTGCACGTGCGTCGCCGTCGAGGAGTTGCCTTATTAATTATTATTCTAATTAATAAGACGCAGATGGAAGCAAGACGAGAAGCAGCAGAGAAAAAAGAATGGAAATAAAAAGAAAAACACGGAGACGGCAATTTGCATATGAGTGACACAACAGGACATTTGCTTCCGCTTGTCACGCAGCCCCCGGGAGAAGAGGACACAAAGGAGGCGACAGGCACGTTCGTTCCGAAAGGATGCAGATCCTGCCAAGGGGTGGGCCTGCGTATTTTTTTCTTTCTTCTACAGCCTCTCGAGAAATCCGGCAAATCTCATGCATAATGCAAGTGAAAAGGCCCGTGAGAAACGAAAACTCCCAGGCCGAAAATTATATAGACAAGGATTCAGCTCTTCCTGTCACAGCTGCCTTGAAAAATACATAGTTCTTACTACTCTGCACTTTTTTTGCTGCGAGAAAAACCTGTTGATACCGCAGAAAACAAAAATCAATCAGTTGACGCCCTAACAATTTGCCAAAAAAAAAATCTCTAAGCCCCTATTGGATCTGTAATCCCCGCTTTTGTTGAGCGATCAACCCCTGATCGATTTGCAAAAGATTCGTTTGCCAAATTGCCAGAGTCAAATGTCAAAGCAATTAAGTCGCAAAATCGAATCGATTTCCAAGGGGTCACACTCCCCTTTTGTCACTCTCTCTTTCCCTCTATCAATGGCATTATCATTGTCATTGTCGTCATGTTTGCTAATTCCCTTCGTCGTTGTTTGCCGTTTTGTTTGCCATTTCACTTTCACTTTCACCTTTCGCCCTTCGCCTTTTGTGTGTGCCAATCTGCTCGGCTTTTCTTTTCTTTCTCCCGGGTTTGCTGAGGGTTAAAAGTGTGCCAATTTCCGGTGGCTCAACTAATTATGAGGTGAAGTTATGACAACCAGGATTAAGCGAGTAAACAAGGTACTTGAAAAGGTTTATGATTACTTTCTCGCCTTTCTCTTAATGAGATTTGATTAATTGGGGGGGAAAAATTATATTTTAAAAACAAAATGAAATTTGATTGAAACAGAAATGATTCTTATTTTATGTTGAATGAAATTTATATTAAAAGTAAATCAGAACTTTATTATATTATAGAACATATTCATTCCTAGACTTCTTGTTTACTTCCTAGAACAATTTCTCCACCTATTTTTCTTGGTGTAACAATTATTTGTGAACTTCTTTTCTTGTATTTCATTGTACTTCCAAGGAATCTCTTTAACTTGGAGCCTTTGTTTTCGGCTCGTTTCAATGAAATTCATAAAAACAATTTCTTTTATGGCAGAACACAGCTCCCCTTCCTTGGCGTTGCCGGGGTTCTCAGGCTCAACGAAATTGGTTTTTAAAAATATTTCACATTTCAATCTCCCCGCGATCTCTCTTTGGCCAAAAACTTGTAATAAAAGCCAGTGTCCTGCCTGCTGTGGGCGTGGGATTTGCGGAAGAACCAAGGAGGCAGGACCCTGTTGGCGGTGGGAGAACCACAACAGTTGGCCAAGCCAAACGCACCGCACATTGTTGGCTTTTTTACTGTCCCCACAAATAACAATCAAAAAATATCCTGGGCCAACGCTGGTTGCCACTGGGGATAAGATGGCCAGGGCCTGGGGGAAATTGCCGAGAGTCCTGGCAGGATCCCCTGGAAATTACAGGTGCCTAATGCAAATTTGTGTGGCATATTTCGCCAAGGCACACAAATAATATTCATTTTAGCAGCGTTTGCTGAAAATTTCCATCGTTCTCTACTTTTATTTTTCTGCGCTAGGTTTTGGGATTTGGATTTGGTTTTGGTTTTGGTTTTTGGATTTCTTTTTCGAGTTTGATTTGCAGTTTCCCTTCGGCTTTCGGCTCGACGGCTTGATTGTCATCATTGAGGCTGAAAAACAGATTTGCCTCCAATCAACGTGGCACTTAATTTCGTTTATTTGATTGGATTTGTGTTTACATGGCTGCCTG